GGTTAATCCTGGTGCATGTTACCTGGGTGAAGGGTGTTTGGAGACCTAAGTGACGAGTACAGCATGAGACTGACTGAAGCAGAGCAGAACGCTCTCTCTGTCCAATCGACCCTAAGCTGGCTCCCTCCTATGGCCAACAACCCTCACTCAGGCTAGCATTTGTCCACAGAGCAAGGAATTGAGCCAAGGGCCAGAAATTTAAGTGCATCCAGTTGGGACCCATCCATGTACTGTATGCAGTGGGACACAGGCAGCATGGGATGCTCTTTCCCCTCTTGCCCTTCCAGCTCATGCAATATTCAGTTACACAATACCTGCTGAGCCAAACCCAAAATTCACCTTTGCTTTCCCTGCAGAACAAACTTAAATGAAAACTTCTTCAGAATGAGGGACCCACTATCTCCTAAGCCCCACTATCTTGGACTCTGTATCTTCTTGTTGGTGTCTTAGCTGAGCGCACACTGGTGCCTGGAAGTAGGGTGGGAGCAAGGCATTTCAATGCTGTGGCCTCTCTGAGGTAAAGGACCAGATCCCCCAGGAATAAAGGCCAGTGACCCACAATTCACTGTTTAATGACAGCTCTGGAGAGACCAGAGGGGCCTGTGCCCTGGAGTTTAGGGAAGACTTTCAACAGGAGCAGACCAGAAGGAGCCAGTTGCGCAGCTACCCTGCAGCACCTTATGGCCCATTTTAATGGCCTGCAAGAACAGCAAGGCAGTTTTAAGCCTACTTGTGAATATCTTTGAGATTTTGAAACCTTAGCCCAGACAGTTGTCCAGCCCACTTTCCTGCCCTTCCTTGGGGCTTTTCATCTCTAGCTCCAGCTTTCAAAGCATCCCACAAAAGATAACTTTAAAACCCCCAAGTTGTTCTTTTTTTTGTACGGAAAGAGATTGGTTACATCAAACATAAGCAGGAACATTCTAATGTTCTTACATAGTAACTTTCTAAAGCCAAGGCTGCAACTGAGCTCCAACTAGCTTCCAACATCAAGGACAATAAAAAGTCCCTTTTCAGATATGTGGGGAGCTGGAGGAAAAGCAAGGGCAACATTGGACCCCTGCTGAACCAGATGGGACAGCTGACAACTGATGCCCAGGAAAAAGCCAACCTATTAAATGGGTACTTTGCATCTGTCTTTCATCAGTCCCATGGGACACCCATGCC